AAAAAAAAAAAGAATTAAAAAAAATAAAAAAGGATAAAAAGAAATAAAGAAATTCTATGAAAATTTTATTCCCAACAAAGGCTTGGTTTTTAATGAATCACTCCACAAAAAAATAAGAGTACAGCATACAAGTCTGACCTCGCCCTGATTGTGATCCGAATAAGTTAAACATCATTCAGATGATCATTGTTGTTTAATACCATTTAATGATGTATTTTATTAGTGATTAATAGTGATTAATGGCTGATAAACTTCATTAACTTTTTATAGACTTTGAAACTTATCTTAAATGCTACGTTAGTGCATGCTATTCTGGAGTACTCGCATTTTTTTTTTTTTGTCTTTTTACAAGTTCACATGTATAACAGCCAAAACTGTAATTCCCTCCTTATAATTTAATGATTGGAAACGTCTCAACAATAATTATTTTATATATTTAGCAAATTCTTAATTTACACGGCAGCCATTTTATGTGGGATGACATTGTTATCACAAAAAAAGTGGTTTTATAAATTGTTTGCTGCGTCAGAGTGTCCTCCTGACGTTGGCTTGTGACTTAATTACATTCATACCAAATTTTATTGGTTAAAATCCGGTTGATCGGTCACGATTTACTACTATTTTTTCAGGGTTCGTGTTACCAACGTGCTTATTATGAGAAATTTTTAAAAAAAATCATTTTTAGTAATATTTACAAAATAAATAAATATTATTATATTATAGTAATAATGATTGAAGTTGTGAATTATGATGAATTATGATGAATCACACTATAATAATAAATATTGAACAATTATTATTATTTTTGATATAATGTCAAATTTCAGTAAGTTATTATTCTGCGGAAGTTCCCCGGTTTGTTTCTGGTTTTTTTTTTTTATTGGCTCATGTCAAAACACCAAATATGTCAATCAGAATTACATTTAAACTAATTTTTGTGTCATTTAAAAACCACTAAATTCTGTACAATCTACTGTAGATTCCTCCCATTACATTTACCTTGAACAATAGGGTCATATCAGTCATACTTTCACTTTTGGTAGTACATGATAACATGATTAGAGATATATATGATATATGATAACATCTATGGTAAGAAGTAACTTTATTTTTATTAATTTGAATTACAATTTGTAATCCGAAAAATAAATATTTTTAACCTGTCACTTAAACTTTCATATACTTACCTAAGAAAATGATTTACCTGTCCTGTGTGTAAATCTGTAACGTGTTACAAAAATGAACTGAATAAATAAATTTTATGGGGAATCAACGCTCTAGAATCTTGATAACATGAAAATCTTTGATATTCCATCCAAATAAAATTTGGTTTGCCCACATGATTATCAGAGAGGCTTAGTAACTTAGCAACTTGGCTTAGCTATTGCAAAGTTATTGCGGTGAAATATCATGTGATAAGTAAAAGCACTGCAGTGCAATTCATGAAAGCCTTTCTTCTGTTCTTTTAATCTATTGATTTTCCTATTAAGGTAAATCTTATTATTGAATAATTATTTTGAAAATTTGCGATTAATTCGGTTATTCATTATTTGACTTTTTGCTCTCTTTCATTTTTCGTGTAAAAATCAACGCGTATATTTAAAAAACTTTGTAAAAAAAAAAAAAAAATCCTTAACATATCTCTTATTATTGAAACTATACCCCAAGAAAAGAGAATAACTTCCTTTCTGTCCAATTTCTTTCTATTTTATTTCTTTTCATATGAGGAAATGAAGTTTACGTTTGTACGGTATTCTTTCAAATTTCAAGATTAACCTATAATTTGTCTTTCCGAAATATTTCAATTATAGGATGTTTGACTGCATTATCGTACTTACTCCATATTGCATAATGTTATCTCTTGAATGATAAAATTAAAATCAATCCGTTTTTATTAATAGATTTTATACAATTCCGTTAAATTTCTTTGATTTTTTTGATTAATTTGATAAGATTAGATAATCAGAAATAAGTTTACATGATAAATTTAATATTTACAATTGATAGCGAAACGACGGAAGATTCATTTGAGCACAAAGAATATTATTAAATATTATTTTTTTTTGCATTAAAAAAACCCCTCCCATACGACATTTTCCGATGCTTCTCAAATAACCAATAAGATGATAATGAAATTTGTAAAAAGAAAAAATAAACGGTAATACTGCGGCTGTTTTCAGGAAAATCTCTGCTTTTTTTATTTTATTTTTTTTTTTTAAAAAAAAATATTCCAATTCAATTTATTTGTTTAAAAGATACTTGTTATTTTTTACAGTAATACATAATTTATGTCATTCTCATCTTTTACATTAAAGGTATTGTACAACCAAAGGTCTGCCGACTTTGTACAACAGATACGCAAAAAACATCCTTAAAATTTACGTGATAAGGCTATATATGTTTTATTCGTATTCCGAATTCATGCCTTTTTCATGTTGTGCGAAAATCCTATCAAGTTTGTACAAATATGTGCATTTGGGGTTCGCGTATCTTTTTTCTTTTTTTTTTTTTTTTTTTTTTTTTT